ATTGTTCGACCGATGGTCTTATTGCCTTGAAAGTTAAAAGGATGCATTGGGTGCGCTATAGCAACCTACAACAATACATTTTTGCCTGTCCTATCAAATTTTCCTAGAGCCTAGAAGCTGCTTTGGGACCGTTATTTGTTATCGTACAGAAGAGCCTGATGAGATGAATGAATACTGAATAACACGACTGATCTCAAGTCTGAGAAGCTACTATCCGCTCTGTTTCAGCTTGAGATAGCATATACTGAACTATTCAGAAGTCCAGGAACAGTCAAAATTCACAACAGGGGAAAACAGATATTTCCTAGTCAGATGGTACTGACCGTGCCCTTGACAGGTTTCTCGCTTTTCCGGAAACAGCTCCAACTTTTTAAATGAAAAAATTAAAATGCATTGCTATATTTTTGATTAGCGTAGCACCCTAGCACTCTCCTCAGCATCACGTCCAGAGGTCCAGACTTCATACAATCTACTGTAGAAGATTTATCAGAGTTGAGGATCAAGAAATGATCAAATAATTGGGTAGCTCTGAATCGATATTAACTAAAATTCAATCAATTTAATAACGACGGATTCCCGATTAGAAGGTAATAACTGCGTTGATGCCGGATTCGCGATTTCGATGGTATTTATTTTTTCTTTGAAAGTGCAACGGCATCTTCTTTATTAGCGTATATTGACACTGTAATACCTCATACCATGTTCTATAAATAGCAAGACTCGATATTGTATTCTTATGAGGATATGACAAATAATTAGATGTAGCGTTGTTTCTGAATGAAAGAAACGTCTGTGTAATTATAACCATCTGATGAGGAACAGCTAGGTGCGCATTTGCTAAATACTTGGTAAATATCGGTCGAGGAATGTGCTTCCAAGCTCTTGATTATTAAGAAAGTTATTCTAAGGAGTGCTGGGTATTAACATATATATATATATATATAAACCACTAGAAGGTAGCATTGTTGTCGACTGACGAACCTGACAACAACACCGTTACTACTCTCTGCTCGGGAATAATTATTTATCTCCTTGTACAAAATTTGGTGTATATCGCACAAGTGCTTCTGACAATGTTACCATCTTTTCAGAAGTAGGGGCTTAAAAAAGTGAAGGTGTGCCCAAAAATATAATAAACCTGTCAATAAAGGAGTTGTTGTTACTATATAATATGTGATCGATTATCCCCCTGTTATAAATTTGGTGAATTTGGTAAAAATTGATAAGCCCAATTCATACTTAACTCTGCTTTTGCCGTATTTACTTCGTTTTAAGAAATGTGATATGAAGAGTCATCTATCGTACATATTGTAGAGCAAGTTTGGCTTTAAAAGCATTCTGCCAAACTGTATCAGCATGTTGCATCTTGTCTTATCCCGATCCTCTGTAGCTAACCAAGAGACTATTCATAACCAATCATAGTAGTAGATCTGGAGATTTTATGATGCCTAATGTATCTGCTGAAAATCCCCGTGATCACTATAGTCCATGGCTGACTGTTCCTTCCTCCCTTTTTTCTGACCAATAATAAAAACCAAAAAGTTTAAGCATAAGGGTGTGTGTCATTATAGCAGAGGATTATTTAGTTCTCATCAATACCTATTTTGCATCAGTGGTTAGAGGGGGATAAGTGACTCAAGATCTCAATATTATTTTAAAACGTTCCATAATGCTCTCATTAAGGAGTAAAGATTGACGCACGACACTATTTCACAACAAAGACACATCCGCTTGGAAAATTCCTAATTCCAAGAAGATATAGCTGGCCAAAATAATGAGGTTTTTTGTGTTAGACAAATGCCTGCTGAGTGTTGTAGTCTTCGATGTACTTTGAAATCGGGTATCATAAAACCTTTTAGTGACGTTTTTTCTTGAAAAAAAGAGTATACTAATTTCCTGGTGTGGGACTTATTTTGTTGTCTCGCGACTTAATAATAAGGAGCTGATAGCTCCATGTTGAAGACGCGGTTTATCCAAAATGCAGATGTACACATAACTTTTCTTCAAGAAAGGACGCTTTTCTGATGAGTTTAAAGTATACACTTAGGTTCCTCTACGCTTTCCTGTTTCAAAGTGCTCCGACATGAGACGGTAATGGGAACATTCAGGATATTATTATCAGCAGTCATTTTAAATTTAACAATGAAATTGGGTGCAACGCCGATGTAGACATTTAACCTCTGCAACTTATTTTGTTTTTGCCAACCTGATATATTTCCAAAGTGTTCTAGGCCAGTAAAATCAGATTGAAATACTTTCTAGCGTAACAGCTTCCTAGGCACACTTTTTTGCACATCCAATAAAATGTAAAACGACACATTTAAAGTTAATTTTCAACCTCCAAATATAACATCGTCAGCAGACTTATAGTATTTCGTCGTCGTTTCTGGCTCCACTTATTGACAACAATATGGATATGGATGAGAATCCTTGTAGTTAAGTGGGAAGCCTTTATTATAAAAATGAACATTCAGGTAATTCAGGTTCGTTTCCGTTAAAACTAGCTTGTTCCAGGCATGTATGTCACTAATTTTTTAGACGGTTCTGGTAAAGTCGCTGTCACGTGTAAATTTATTTAAGACACAAACTCCAATAAGTATTTGTTATGAGTATACGGAATATTTTAATTCATACAACGGCCTCTAACAAGTCTATTACATCAGATAATAAATAGTATATGAACTAACCTAAGAGGCTGACATAACTGACGGAGCTCACTAATATCTATTGGATAATCTAGATTAATGGCCATTTTTTGTTCCTTTCACTTGCAGTAGCGATGGCGATACGATTTCTTCTTTTTAATTTCACTTCGACGGCAGACAGGTTTTAGAAAACGACGGTCAGCTATTGGATGACGTGTTGGAAGCAAAACGGGTGTTTTATATATGTACAGAATGTCTTGGCTTTGCTAGCAAGAATGACAGATAGTTTTGCTATTAATCATTTTGCATTTGAGTGTTTTCCGTGTAGTGTATAAGTACACTATCCTTGGAAAAGCTTTATCTGCACAAAATCGTAATATTAAGTTATCATGGCAGTGAAAACTTAAACTACATGAACGTACCGTCTTCGTAGTGTCCAAATATAATAATTAAAAAATATAAGATTCCGGCAGGGGTAGGAGTAGGGCCATGGGTAAGGCTAATCTCTGGTCATTTTCAGGATACATTAACTAGTTCATATGACAACATTTCAATCACGCTTGTAGTGCCTATAATGTATCAAGTCAGATCTTATCCTGGTTTGAGTGTAACGCTGGATGGTAGATTCTGGAAACAGGAACTACCAAGTGTTGAATTTTAAGAAAGAATTGTATCAATAGTATTTTCATATCTGAGGCGAATTTCCTATTTACAATGCTTCTTCGTGGAATACATCCATCTTTTACATATCAGCGATAGCACTAACGCGAATTTTGTAGCATCGAAAGACACTACAAGACGGAAAATTAAATGCTGTCAAAGTTTTACCGGTACTATCATGTACGTATGTACCGCCAAAGACCGCTAAGGTTATTATATTATATCTTCTTGTGATAATTTGTAAATGCTTTGTTATGCACTCATCCAAAATGTTTTGATCCTGCAACATTTAAACCCAACGGCTTCCAAACTAACGCGGAACTACTACAAAATCGTCAACATACATTCAAATTCTGGGCATACCAAGTGTAAGGTTTGAGAACAGAGAAGCAGTTAATATTGATACCCACTACCCCTCTATAAATTAATATCACCGTTTATCACCCATTGTGTATACCAAAAAATTGTTCAGGGTATTACAACAAAATAATTGCGTAAGCAATGTTAATGTTATGCCGAATACATGCGACGACCATAATTTTCAAATAAGCTTTTTTGGATGACGACGACGGACTTGTAGGAGATCTACAGGTACCGCCTCCAAACACATAAGATAAAAGGATAAGAAACAAGGAAATCTTGAAAATATTTACCAATAAATTGAAAACTGGTAGTACTATGTGAGACTGCTGACTTGCTCCATGTTAACAGATTTACTTACATCTGTATAGCAACGCTTTTTCAACGAAATCGTTAATCTTCTACATATCAGCGATAGCATTAGTACTGATTTTGTACCACGAAAACACCTTACAAGACGAAAAGAGAATAAATGCTGTCAAAGCTTGTCGGTACTATCATATATGTAGGTATCGCCAAGGAACGCCCAATTCGTCCGAGTAACCTCCATATGGTAATTTGGAAATACTTTTTTGAACACTCGTCCAAAATGTCTTGATCCTACAATATTTGAATACAACGGCATCCAAACTAAGACTGATCTACTGTAAAATCATCATTATGCATTTAAGTATGCTTTTAAGTGTGAAGATTCAGTACAGATAAGTGTAATAGATAACGATACCAACTATGTCTGTATAATTAATGTCACGTTTACTATCCATTGCGTATAACAAAAAAAAGAATGTTCAGGGCATTACAACAAACAATTGCCAATTGTCTAAACGACTATAATTTTCGAATAAGCCTTTTGTGGATGACGCAGATGGATGTAGGAGGAATACTACTTTTAAATTAAAAACTGGTCATACTATCTGAGGTTTAGCTGACTTGCTTGTTAACAGATTCACTGTCGTCTGCATTTATCACTAATATGAATGTACCTAAACGACTATCCCCTTAACGCGTTATGCTATTTGTCTGCAACTCTTATTCATTGCTGGCAATTTTAGGCATTAATTATCGGCAGTGTCAACTGGACACACTTTACAGCGACACAGTAATAACACATTTCATAGTCCAAAATGTCAAAACCCTAATTTTTCATGAAGGTCTCTCTACCTGGAGTATCAAATAATATAACCAATACCCAAAAGTCGTAAAAAAACTAAAGCCCTCATGAAAATCAAATGGCAATTTATGAGTTGTTTTAGCTAAATTTAACCCAAATTGTTATGCTTTGACGTCACCTATTATACACACACATACACATTTAGGGTAAAGACGTAACTATTAGCATGGTACTTTATTTCCGTTACAATGAGCAATAAATTACTTAAGACTAACAGCGAAAAATTAATTATTTCTAACCAAGTTGCTATAACTTCTCATGCAGAATATGAATTTCATATGTACATTTTTATGGTTTTTATATTCCGAGGTTGATACCTCCGTAACTGCAACGATCTATTAGGTAATTACTGTAATTTGGATTCAATTCTGTTGCACAACAAAATTGGGTTGCAATTATACCTAAGTCCTGTACTATCAGAGATATGTTCTGAAAATTTTCTTGGGCACCCCTTTATCTTGAATTTCGTATGACCTATGATGATACCCCTCATCTTCATGACTATAGCTATGACTTTCGACGTATTTTGGCTTTTTTATAATCTCAAACGTAGTTGTCTCCTTATCGTGGTTCACTAGCTTCTTAAGTCCCAGAATAGCTGTCAACAACAGCGCCATCTTGCCCATCATGAGTGCCATACCAGACATGACGGCAATGCCCTTGTATGCTACTGCGAGGAATGTACTTTTGATGGCCAAAGCCCAGTATAGCGCTTGGTTGTGACCATGTCCTTGCTTCTTTTTTCTAGCTTCGTCTTCTGCAGGTTTGGCTAGTTTGATTTCCAGCCGGTGAGTGTCAAAGAATCTGAAAAAAATTACAATGATGTTACAAGGTACGAGAATGCTGAACATATTGAATCAAATTGGCGAGAGAATAAACTCCAAGTGAACCCTTATATCCATTCAGCCTTCAATATTTGCGGGTAAACTTCTTTGGCGATAATATTCTACTGAGCTTGTGTATAATATGAAACAGTCGCAAAAGTAAAGCCTAAATCCCGGAACGCAGCACTAGCTATAATACAGTTAGGAAGACCTTAATGTCACTTAGCTCAAAACCACTGTGACAGAGCTCTGACTAGGCCAGAATATGAAGTATCATAGGTACATATAAGAGAAGCATCTTGTAATAAGATTCTAGCTACTTCTAGCTGCTTTTGCTGAAACCAGAACGAATTTAGTTATGCCATGACGGTGTGTGGTCCCACCTTGAGCATCAAGTAGGTAGTAGCCATCTAGCAGGTGACGATACATATTGGGAAACATCTCTAAAACCTAAGCATCGAAGAAGGCCAATTTTAACTTAAAAAGAATTATTCGCGAATCGTGCGGGATATATTGACTCTTTTTTTACATCGATCATGGATAATGTAGTCAAGGCAGCAGCACACCAAACGTGTGAGCAGTACTCCAGGCTAGGTCTTATCTGGGCCTTATACAGTACTGTATTTTGGACGAATTAGACTATACAAGATTGTTGCATTCCCAAGCAGTGATAAACTCCAGGTCTTTCGTCATAGAGAAAGTCGCTGCTAGTCTTGGCGACAAGGATATTAGCACGCACTTCCGCCTTAGCCTTTGAGATGGTTAGAATCATTCCATCCTGGAACGTAAGCACTCTTTGAGCGGTTCCTTTCAATCTGCTTGGCCAGCGTTTAGAAAGACCGACTACCATTGCGCTACGACATTACCATGTCCCCAATTTTTACATTGTGCTGGCATTGCGGACCGCTTCGCTATATTTGTCCCTGGACTCCACGTCGGCTCATCTGTCCTCTACAGCGAGATTCTGTAAGAAGTACCCTGGTTTAGGCACTTTCAGCATATGAGGGATGTATTTCTCATCCCAATATGGATAATTTCGGTTATTGATGAGCAAGTAGCCGACTCATCCGGGTCAGCAAAACAAAGATCCAAGGAAGGGTAGGAATACATTCTCTGAGCCCTTCTCACTCGGCATATCCTTGATGTCAAATTTTGCGGTCTATGCGAGCTTCTGCTGTCACATCCGGTTCTGACTGGAGCCTAAGCTGCACAACATCGTGATCTGCGCTCACCAGAGGATACAGGTTGGTAGTGCTGTAAGGCACACCCTGCGTGGTCCAAAAAGAGATCCAGCAGGCTACGGCGAGTAACGAAACGTGAGGGAAAGAAGTAGGACACTCACCAACTGGGTCAGTCCTTAGGTAGTGAACGCTTAAACAACACGACTTGCTGCATCTATTTAGTTTGAGCCCAAATATAATGCATTATGGGCATTGAAATCACCGAGGGGAGCTACCTCTGAGATAATGTGATTGACGAGGAATTCAATCTTAACAGCGAGCTATTCAGTTATGGCCCGCGGTAGAGCGGTAGAGAAAGCCAATAAATTTGAGGGATGTTCTAAAGTTGTGGCAAAGCCACAGAATGTTCTTCCGACCTGATTCCAACGAAACATCTCTGGAGAAGGAAAGCCTGCTGCGGACGTCACAAGTTCTAAATTCTTTCTGGAATTGAAATGCACCTCGTAATTAGTGAAACTGAGAGTTAGTCGGTGTAGAATCGAAGATTTTGATATCCGCCAGGAAAAGCATGGCAGGACGATTAGACTGTTGTGGTGAGTAGCGTCAATGTTGCTGTTAATCCCACATATTATGTTCGTGAAACAGATTTAAACATTGATTTTGTACCCTCGAGTCCACCCTCCACCTAGACATTCCGAGAATGGAGTGAGCTTGGCTCCGAAACTCTTAGTACTCGAGCGATCGTCATTAGCTTCTTGGCTGTGAAGGGAAAGGGATGGACACCGACTGCGTACCTTAGGTGTTGAAACATGCGAAAATTCTTAAGCCCACGGAAAAAGCTAGCGGGTGGTACTGCCTCAGTAGACTGGTCCTTGTTAACCACCTTCTTTTTGCGTGTTAATGATGTTGGGTATACCGGAAGTGGCCCATTGGCGGACTTATGGTATACCGCCACGGGGCAGTCGGTACTGATCTATTCCTCAACGCATGTACAGTCACTTGGACGGAAAGAAGTTGTATACCGAGTATAAGAACTTCCAGAGTTAGCATTTGCGATTTCCCCGGCCAGTAGGGGATAAGACAAGGCCTTTGTGAGGCTTAGTCACGTTGCAAAACTTCATTAGTAAATGTGTTTGGAATTCTAGTTGACTTTCTCTTTGGTTTGGATTCGTGCTTAGTTTTTGATGTTCATTGAGGTGATTTCAACACACTTTTGACTGCCGAATATTACAACGAGATTCGACTTGCAATTTTTCAGTTTTTGAAATGTTATTCAAAATATTGCTTGTGTTAGACATTCTCTTTGGAGATGATTTAACGTCAGATTCATAAACAGCTCCTTCGGAGATCGAAAGGTGCGATAATCTTCATTATGTCAGTTATATTTCCGAAATATCTTCCGCCATTTTGTGCCCTTCATTCCATCAGTAAAGATAAGATTACTGAATATCTAGAATAAAAGTTCAATGATATAATATTTTGTTTCGATATCACAAAAAATTGTCCGTCTTTTGGCCCAGTCATTTTGGTTGTAGAGATTCCGACTACCAAGTTCATAATCAGTGACATTGAAAACCTTACATTATGCTAAAGTTTGTCCAGATCAGATAACAGCTTGTATTTTGACGACGTTGCTTTAGCGACTTTTACCACTGTGCGATGAGAGACCTTTATGATCAAAACGAGCTCTTTGAATAGAATATATCGGTAAATATGCAAGATACCGCGGGTTTGAAACCGGGCTAGTAGAATCATTCTCTAATTGTAACCGTTACCTTTTAAATGTCTTAGGCTAATTTGATGTATCAGCTGCCGAAAAACAGTACCGAAGGCCCTAATACATAAATGAAAATAAATTGTTCAATTTCACCAAAGACTGAACATACCCAGTTACCGAAATCGGTGAACTAAATCTCTAACATAGTTAGAATGTTGATACACGAATGATGAATGGTGTTATGATAATGAAATGCACTTAACGATGCGCAGTAACTTATACCTCCGATAAGAGGGTTGTCCCGAGCATTACATAGTCAGAGCATCAAAAGGAATGCTATCAATTATTCAAATACATTGAAAATATGTACTCTCATCCTAAACACGCGAAGAACGGTTTTTTTCCGATGTTATCTGTACGCTAAATGTTGACGACACGTTGTTAGAGCAGTTGATGTGACGTTTGCGTACCAAATACGATGACGCTGTGGATGGCGTTATGCTTTTCACTGAAAATTGAAGAATGAGCAGACACGAGTTGTTCAGCGTAAGACAGGGTCTTCCAATTCATATGTACATAGTGAAATCAGAAGTTGTATGGACCGAGACCTTTTTATATCTGAGAATAAGAAAGTTCTAAACTCAGTTTTTACGTATAAACCGGATGATTTATCATAACAGGCCATGCAGTTTCAATTACATATTTCCAAGGCACTATCTAACAGAACTACCTAGAAGTAACGTAATACTAGGCGGGCAGTTAAAAAGTCAACAGTTGGCACGATTTTCTACACTTTTCCGCTTTTTATTACCTTTTAAGCTGAATTTTCAAATGGTTGACACTTACACACAATCCAACTAAAGACGGCAATTAACTGAAACTTAAACTTCCTGCTTGGCTTCATTAATATTTCAATATTCGACTTGAAAGGCGTTGACTTTGACAAAAAGCAAAAAATGAAAAAATGAGACCGGCCCTGAATTTCTAACTGTTAACTCAGCTCTACGTCATTGCCAGGCCAGCTTGTTATCGTGCAAAATTTTAACAAAATCGATTCAATAGTATCTGAGATCTGTGATATTTGATATTTGGCGTGCTTAGGTAGATCACCTTGTATATCCGTAAACACTGAATTAAGTACTTTGTTATTTTCGGATATGGTAATGACTCGGTCCATACTACTCACTAATTTAATATAAGTTCGGAACACCCTACAGGGTGTTTCAGAACTAAGGGATGAAACTTCTAGGGGTTATTCAGTGTAACAGTAGAAAACATTTGAGTATAGGGACCCATATGTGTAAAAGTGTCACTACGGCACTAAGGCCCTAAGACGCGTTAAAATTTAGAAAGACGGTGAATTGCCTAAATAGGATTTAATGCATTTAACTTTTGCCTTTTGTACATGATATCATCACAACAACTGTTCAAAATGCCTTCCTCCAACCTGAATACACCGATTTAAACGTCGCACATGATTTCGGCGGACTTGACTAAAAATTTGATACTGGTTTTGAATGATTTCAAATACTGCTGTAATTCGTCCAATTAAGTTTTGCTCTGTTTCTACTGGACTTTCGTAAACCAAGGACTTTACATGTACCCACAGGAAAAAATCTAGCGGCGTTAAATTGGGTGACCTAGGTGGCCAAGAAACTGCTCCACCTCTGGCAATCCAACGGTGCCCAAACAGCTGAACCAAATACTCACGTACTTGTACAGCAAAGTGCTGAAACCACATTTGCTGTCGAACGTTCAATGGAACATGTTCAAGTAGTTCTGGAAGAACTTCATCCAAGGAACGCCGGTAAATAGGTCCTGTTAACCGTTCCGGTAGAAGGTATGGCCCAATCAAATAATCATCAACAATGCCTGCCCATACGTTGACAGACCAACGTTGCTGATATTTTCAAGGAAAAATTGTATAGGGATCTTCTTTGTCCCAAACGTGGCTATTCCTACTATTAAAAATACCGTCTCTTGTGAAAGACGCTTCATCGGTCCATAAAACATAGCGTACAAAATTTGGTTGTGCAGCGATTTGATGAATAAGCCATTGACAAAATTGAACTCTAGGACTATAATCGGCTGCAGTCAATCTTTGAACTTTCTGGAAGTGATAAGGATAAAGTTGTTGCTCGTCGCAAAGTAAACCTTCAGGAATTTCAAAAGTGCACTTTTCTTCCCGTGCTCAAAACCTTAGGAATAAGAGTGTTGCCACTTGTGATTCTTATGGCTTATTGTTTGTTAACTTTATTTGGTTATCAATAAATGCTCAAAATTGGCAGAATATATATTTTTAACGGTAAATGCGCTACCATGTATCCATAGCGTTTCTTGTAATATAAAAATGGTCGCAGAAAATGTAGTTGGAGATTAGTGGACTGTCATCGAGTGTCATTATAAGCCTGGATAATAATTCAGCCGTTCCGAATATAAAGTTACACAGTATTCCAGAGTCAACCTTCATCTGTCAATCTACATTCCATTGCTGTGTATTACATTATCAAGTGATTTACAAACGTTCCTCAGCTTAAGCGGCTGGATGTATTTTGACATATGAGGTGTCGTTCGATTTGTCTCAAAGTCCAATAAGTCTGAGCATATTAAAATTTAGTAAAATCAAAATAATTATTTAAAAGTTCAATGTTGTTTCTATTTCACCCGCAGCACCTTGAACGGCTGGGTGGATGTTGACATTCGAGGTATTTTTGTCTTGATAACATCAGTGACACTGAGTGCACTAAATATTATATACACTCAGGATGGCGAATTGTAAAAATCTGATTTATGACATACAGCATTGGTGAATCTCATGACACAACTAAAGCTTTATTTTTTTCAGTTACTGCTGTCAGAGACAGAAATTCATTTGTTTTAGATCCTGTTGTATACGGGGACAAAATTTGCGACTTGGTGTTTAGTAAAGTGATATAGATCGAGAGACCTGTGCTTATTTTTAGTTGCTCTTCGCAACAGATCTGTATTTTGGCTACGTCACTAGCACTCAACAGTCGAATATCACCTACACGAACTAACGATTACCGAGAGTGACATATCTAACGACAAGCGCAGCCAATATTTATGTTGCATCCTATCCAGACTCTTTACCAATATCAGATGGTTAGTGTTAATTCCTATAGTTTTCACAGGTACTAAAAAGTCATTGACCTTTCGATACATGACTCAATTGAATGCTCCTCTTAACGAAACGTAGTATATACACTTATCAATGAATGCCGGACTGGACCGGACATTTGGCTTGACTCCGGATGGATGTAGACGTCTGAGGAATTTTACGTACACCAGACATTCTAAAATATATCTATGTGTCTAGACGTAATAATTTACCTAATCTAATTGATGCATATCAGTTACATCTGAATATTACATGGTGTTTTGTTTTTGACGGGATTTTCCGATATAGAAAGTGCAGTCCTCTGACTTAATCAGCTTTTAACTGAGAACTTCTGGTGAGATTGAGATTATGTACTTTGGACGAAGCTTTGTTTAGAATTATCTATGTACTTATGATGGGATTAAAGATTAATTAATAAATTTCCTTGAGTTATTTGAGCAAACAGTCAATTAGTACACAAAGAGTAATATAGTTCTCAATGTGTTTTTTATGCAGACTATCGTGCAGAAATCCACTCCTATCTACGTATTTTTCCTAAAGTTTGTTACAGCTTAAGATGTTGTTGAAGAGTCTGACAATTTTGTTTCGACAACCTTCTGAAATGATTCATGAAGATTGTAATGCAACGGATAATTGAGAAATCCAACAAGAAGCCTGGATATCGGCTATCGGCTACGTATGCAACTCAAAATTTTTGATTTAGTTGCTGAACCAGCTGAACATCATTCTATGTACGATATCCACCAAGGTATCATATATGACTAGCATTTCAATTTCTGACTTGGACATAATAAGGATTCAGACAGATTTGCTTATCACTAGCTGTAGGAAGCAATTTAGGAAAAAAGAGTTTAATTACGACTACGACACGATTCAAAAGTCTCAAATTGAACTTAGGATTCTCATTAATGTTCTAGGTACGAGTTGCAATGGAGCAATAAGCTAACCTAGATGAGGTCTCCCCCAACAAATCATCAAGCTGCTCTTCACTCAATTTCTCAAGCTTCGTCTCGTTCAACCTGAACTGCATACTCTTCGATATTCTTTCATTGGCAACCAAACTGACTCCGTCCAGAACATGCAAATTCTTTGCTCTCAACGCTCTGTCGACAACTTTCAACGCCTGAACTTTGAAGCACTTCATCAAATGGTCCTTGCTGGCACATTGTTCGAAAATCTTTCCGATCACTTTCAATCCGCTTGGTGTTTCACCTTTGACCTCACATACTATCACTAACACTATAAAACTGAGGGAGACTAAGATGGAATTTTGTAAGGACATGATGACTGCTCCGATTAGTACAACTAACTGTGTGCTCTTGGAGGTAAATGCAGCATATATTATCAAGGTTTCGTGATAAGTTGGATCTTTTAGAGCGTACAGTCTCGATACATGTATGAAATGGATGCACGCAAGGAATTTCCGCAAGTGCGGATTAGCGAAAAGAGAAAATGAGGTTTGTAAACAAGAATACATATTTTTTTAATACTTATTTGCACAGGATATACTATATTATTTTAGCACATCCAATAAATGTCTAAATGGCTTATGCGTATCGTGTGTAATGGCGGCGTCTATATGAAGTTTTTTGACTACCTATTTCTCTTTCTATCTCTTAATAACTCAACATCAGAAACATCTTATCTTCCAATATTCTCATCTCATAGATCAAGGTATAGAGTTTCAGGCAAAAACCGTATGGCCGGTTTTGTAACGGAATTGCTTACTCAAAGATAAATGAAATCGTCCTCCTTTGCTAGATATAAAGAAATTTGCTCCATAAATTTCTCATCAATCGTTGGAGTTGTAGAGAAACTATTTTTTCGCGTTTAAAGGAAATATTGACTCTGACAATCAATATAAAAATAAATCTACTGAGCTTTCAAAACAATCCGAACGAAGATATTACCTATAGAAATTCGATAGTAACATACTCGTAAACGATCCTAGATAACTTTTTACAAATATCGAATGAAATTATTGGAGAAGAGTGCATGGCTAAATCTCAGAGACAGCTTCAGGTAAAACTATTCATCGTGCGAGCTTGGCAAATAGTATATAAAAAGACATGCGAAACGCTCTTTTTCCAAAAAAATCAATAACTCATTTATTTTGGATAAAGTATATCGTAGTATACACCACTGCTATGCCTTTAATAAATCGCAAGAGTCTTATTTTTGATCGAATTAAAAGAGAGTATTCAACAATTGTAGCTGAAGATACAACGAAACCACTCACCTACAACATGAGCAAATGTCAATTTTTAAAAATGGTAAACACCAATACTTACCTAATTCACGAGAAGCGACAGATATTGATAGTTATCGATCATCATCAGTAACATTCTCTATACCAAAAGTTTTATTTGCCAGAATGATTCAGTACCTTACAAATTACAAAAATTTAAGTGAAGATTAATATAGATTTACAAAAGGAGAGTTGTAGACGACCGCAATAACTGAAATTCTAAATCAAATACATTAAAATGTCAATAATAAAATTCCATCTATTTGCATTCTTGTTGACTTAAAAAAGTTTCGACCCAGTCAATCGTAAGCTATTATTAGATATTTGGAGGCAGTTGGTTTCAGAGACACAATATACTCACTAAAATAAAATTACCGATCACACTTGCTCACTGGATAGGATGCAACATAAATATTGGCCGCGCTTGTCGTTAGATATGTCGCTCTCGGTAATCGTTAGTTCGTGTAGGTGATATTCGACTGTTGAGTGCTAGTGACGCAGCCAAAATACAGATCTGTTGCGAAGAGCAACTAAAAATAAGCACAGTTTTCTCGATCTATATCACTTTACTAAACACCAAGTCGCAAATTTTGTCCCCGTATACAAGAAATGATTTTCTGTCTCCGACAGCAGTGACTGAAAAGAATAAAGCTTTAGTTGTGCCATGAGATTCACCAAGGCTGTATGCCATAAATCAGATTTTTACAATTCGCCATCCTGAGTGTATATAATATTTAGTGCACTCAGTGTCACTGATGTCATCAAGACAATGTCAACATTCGCCCAGCCGTTCAAGGTGCTGCGGGTGAAATAGAAACAATATTGAACTTTTAAATAATTATTTTGATTTTACTAAATTTTAATATGCTCAGACTTATTGGACTTTGAGACAAATCGAAGGACACCTTATATGTCAAAATACATCCAGCCGCTTAAGCTGAGGAACGTTTGTAAATCACTTGATATGGAATGTAGATTGACAGATGAAGGTTGACTCTGGAATACTGTGTAACTTTAGATTCGGAACGGCTGAATTATTATCCAGGCTTGTAATGACACTCGATGACAGTCCACTAATTTCCAACTACATTTTCTGCGACCATTTTTATATTACAAGAAACGCTATGGATACGTGGTAGCGCATTTACCGTGAAAAATATATATTCTGCCAATTTTGAGCATTTATTGATAACCAAATAAGGTTATCAAACAATAAGCCATAAGAATCACAAGTCTTAAGGTTTTGAGCACGAGAAGAAAAGTGCACTTTTGAAGTTCCTGAAGGTTTACTTTGCTCTATCTCCGAACGCAACAGGTACGTCAGACAATGACGAACGCTGAAATTGCTACACAGTAGCACAAGGTGCACACTGTAACAACTCACGAACCGATATCAAAAGGAATTCCATCTTCTTTCTGGTAACTGATATAACAAACCAACTCCAGCGATGAAATGTACCCGAATATGCACCACGTGCGGTATGTCACTAATAATACTATGCAGCAGAAGAGTTGGGAGTATGGAACACTACTCGTTGCTGTCCTGCTGTAGCGCAAGGCTCAAGCCGTTTTCTTGAAAGACTTGCTGAAAACCCGGCAAATTTAGCATCGCATTAGCGCCAGCCTATCAAATAGATGGCATTCCTGTGGTGCAAACTATATTTTTTTATATTTGAACCACCACCACCTAAACACCCGTAAGTACCATGGGGTTATATGGGGATACCGGGAAAAGTGGTGGACATCACACGAAGTAGCGAGGGAACACGTATGCACGTAATTGCAAAAATTCTGATCCTGTCTTAGAGATTCGCCGAGTGGTACCTCTACATTCGATAGTCAGAGACCGTCTTCGTATCTGATGAGAAAAATATTCTGACTTGGATTCTTCACATAGTCTTATTCAAAAAGGCTTTAATGAATCTGCATACTGCCGGGCCCAAACTTGTTAAAAACATTTTTTTAATAAATTTCCTTAAACAAATTCCAAGAAGGTACCTTAGAACCTTCCCTTAAACCTGATTTTTAGAAATATAGGCGATGCAATATTTGAAAATGTGGGAAATATGCCATTTTCGACCTCGAAGAACAATATGAAGAAACACAAATTGTAATGTTTCCAATGTTCCTATATACTCTTCAAACACCTATTAACGAAATCCCAAACTACTTCATGAGGTATTATTGTTACGGTTTGTTTTTTAATTGTGAGCTTAGTTTAATCAAGCGCTCAGTAAATACTCTGGGTGAGTGCAGGATAGAAGATACATGTAGAGGCGGCCGCTAGCCATGGCGAGGAATCGTTGAGCGTCCACTCCACTTAAAGCAACAAAACAAAAGTTTTACAGTAACAAAACCTCGTCAAATGCTTTTAGATCTGAAGAATATTAAGAAACACTTTCAACACTGAAATTTTTCCATGACGTCCATCGGGGTGGAAAATGGCGTATTTCGCATTTTTTCAAATATTATTTTTCTTATATCTCGAAACTTATCGACATTAGAGAACAGTTCTAAAGCACGTTTGTTGTTCAGAATGTCCTAAAAAACTCAGAAACACTGTGACTGGAGCGGAAATAACAGAACTTTTGGAGTTTGTTAAAAAAATTGTTTAAAACATTTTTGACCAAATTTTGGTCTGGCAACATGCAGATAAGCGGTACTACAAGCGATGTATTTCTACCATTTACGGAGTAGCCTTACACAGGGTGTTTCAAATCTATGGGATAAACTTGTAGGGGTTATTCAGTGTAACAGTAGAAAATATTTGAGCATAGGGATCCATATCCGGCGCTTGCGTGTTATCTTTAAAAGCGATAACAGTGATTGTTTTTTGTAGCTGCATTCCATATCGCCTTAGTCGTGCTATCGTATTTGTAAAGTTTGCAAGAATTTAACGAAAATTAGTTTTTGCTAATGGAAAACTTCACCAATCAAGAATTGGCGGATATGCATTTGGCATACGGAGCAACAAGCTGCAATGCTGAGCAACAGCGTGGTTGTATCAAGAACGTTATCCCGAACGACAGCATCCGGGATACAAAAAGTTTATTGTGGCGGCTCTCCCAGACAGGCATGTTTAAAACCAACATGCATGATACTGGTGTTGCTCGAACCGTAAGAACGGTCGAATTTCAAGAAGTGGTCCTTCAGCGAGTTGCCGATGGACCATCAAGTAGCACACGTCACATTGCTGAGGATATGAATACGAGTAACGCTTCCGTCTGGCGGGTGCTACACTAGCAACTACTTTATCCTTACCACTTCCAGAAAGTTCAAGGAATGACTGCAACCGATTATAATCTTAGAGTTCAATTTTGTCAATGGCTTATTCATCAAATCGCTGCACAACCAAATTTTTTACGCTACGTTTTATGGACCGATGAAGCCTATTTCACAAGAGACGGTATTTTAAATAATAGACGTAGCCACGTTTTTTTCTAGGCAGGGCACTCTATGAACTACACAAGTATCAAAGTTCTTGATAAAGAAAATCACCTATCCAAACGTTTATTCCTGGAAATGTCCCACATTTTCATGAATGACAACTGTATGAATAAGAAGACAGATGTTAAGCAACTGAGCGTCGTTTACTCATATCTGCTAAACTGCGAAAAGTTGGAGCACTTACACATCTCTCCAAATTTTGACAACCACAATTATTATATATAAATATATTTATATATATATATATATATATATATGCATCAATTTCGTTTTCTCGAATTTCAGCTTGCTAGCTTGACTCGTTCAGAAAATAAGTAAGAAGAAACTTACAGAAA